CACAGGGAAAAAAAAAATAAATTTTCAGATGCCTGAGCCAATTTCTACATTTAACTAGAATCAGTAATGTCGAATTTTTCCTTCTGTGAAAATCAGATATGTATTGATTTGTAAGTCTTTACTGAATGCCACGCTTTAAAAAAAAACTTTCAGCAATTTGCTTTTTACCCACGCATTTGATATGTTCCTATGCTTATTGTGATTCTATGCTGTTTCACCCATAGAGATATAAGAGCTACTTATTTAAATATTCAGATTAGCAAGTTGAATACTTTCTTCTTTTACCAAACAATATGTTCTCGTGTTGTATGTATATGTGTTTAGATTTTTGTCTTAAACTAATATGGAAAAACCACATTACTGTTGCTTCTTTTAACTTGAAATAAGCATTGACATAATCCTTTAGATAATATTGGTGTAATATGAGAATTCTTACTTTAGAGTAGAGGATTAGATCATTTGCAGTGTCTTAAAAAATAAAAAACTAAAACTTGTGAGTGGGTATGTTCTTCTGTGTACATAAAAATATAAACTCTTAAATGCCAAAAAAATCCAAAAAACTGTTCTGTATTTTAAACTGTGTATTAATTATTTATCTTTTAAATCTCGCCTCAACTTTCTTCGTTATGGTACAAGATCAGTACAACATAAGTTAAAACAGTTCAAGTACAAACCAAAAATATAATAACATTTCAACAGTTTGATACATGGTGAACATCTGTTGACAGATCTGGATATGGTGTAGCCTTATGGAAAAGGCACAAAACTTAGTAATTAAAAAGGTTTTAGGAGTCATTTCAGAAAACTTCTAGGTAACATGGATTGGGGCATCTGGGCAAATGAAGAAGGCAAATAAATTGAGAGTGCAATTCTGCATATAATTTTACACTTTAGAAAACTAGAGGCACAAAGGCATTGCCGAAACACTATGGGACTGCCATCCATAATTGCAAAGGGGGGGGGGCATTGAAATGTGCTCTGGAAAAAGCTCACTAGTTATGGATAAATTAAAAATAACCTCAATCCCAAATGGGTGGTA